GAGAGGGAACGAAGGCCTGGCATGTGAGGTGGACAGCCCACAGCTCCCTGACAATATGCTAGGAGAGCTCCTCCTGCATCCACATACCTTGAGTCTGCACATCACCAACATGGGCTCCCCATCCTGTGTTGGAGGTGTCCATCACCAGCTCAGGGTTGGGCACAGCCTGGAGAACGGGACTCCAGCACATACCACCTCCTCCTGGGTCCACCAGTCCAGGGAGCAGAGGATGTCTGGGGGGACTGTAACCACCCTGTCCCAGGAGTGGAGGGAAGGACTGTGGGCCATGCCAGCCACAAATGTAGCAGGCACATGCGGAGCCTGGAGTGTTGAATCACATACGTGCATGCAGCCATGAGCCCCAGAAGGCACATGTAGTTTCTGGCCATGAGCATAGCAAACGCCCACATGGTCATAACGGCTTCCCTGATAGCCAGGAAACAGGACCTGGGCAGAGAGGCTGAGGCTGGTGTGGAGTCCAGATGAACACCCACAAACTCTATGACCTGAGAGGGGAGCAGGGTAGACTTGGCCACATTCAGGAGGAGGCCCAGCTCAGAGAAAAGTCCTGCACCATGGCTATGTGTGCTAGCACTTGGTCCAGAGAAGGATCCTGAACGAGCCAATAGTCCAGGTAAGGAAACAGCTGGACCCCACGCTCCTCAAGAAAGCAGCGACTACAGCCATACACTTTGTAAAAACCTGAGGAAACCCCTGCCCATGAACTCTGGGGAACCACTTCATCCACCCCTAGGCTTAGGAGCTGCTGCACTTCCTCCCGCAGGAGATGCTCATGAGAGGGGTCCTTGAAGAGGGATAGGGCAGGGGGATGAAAGAAAGGGGGCAAGAGGAACAGGATAGCGTAGCCCCTCCCTACCGTCTCAAGGACCCACTGAATCAAAGGTGATGGAAACCCAAGCCCGGTAGAAAGGGAATAAGTGGTCCAAAAAAGGGAGACATGAGACTGGTAAGCTGTCCCTGGGCACACCTTCAAAACCCTTGACGGGGGCCCTGATTTTTGACGGCCAAACCCAACCCTTGGTCAGATGAGGGGTGGGAACGGCACCTGTTGTTCCTGCCATTCCTGTTCCTTCCCCTGCTCCCCAAGAAGTCCAGGCAGGTGGCCAGCAGGGAAGGTTGGAGGGCATTCCTTCCAGGGCATGATTGCCTCTGGGGGCGGGAGTGTGGATCCCCAGGGACTTCAATGTAGCCCATGTATCTTTCAGACCATGCAGATGATGGTTGACCTTCTCCGAGAACAGGCTCAGTCCTTCAAAGGGCAGGTCATGGATAATGGTGTGAAGCTCTGGGGCACCCTGGATCCTTGCAGCCATGAACTGGGACAAAGGGCTAGGCCTGTAATCATGGCACGGGTGGCCACATTGGCTGCATCCAGGGCCACACAGGAGACAACCCTGCTCTCCTCAAAGAGGGACTTGAACTCAGACCGGGAGTCCTGAGGGAGAAGTTTGGTGAATTTGTCCATCACAGTCCAGGTGTTATAAGAATAGCGACTAAGCAGAACCTGCTGGTTCCCTATACGGAGCTGCAGCCCTCCTGAGGCATAAGCCTTCCTTCCCAGAAGGTCTATCTTTTTGGCCTCCCTGTTCTTAGGGGTTAGGCTCTGCTGCCCTACCTCTCATGATGGTTCATCGCCTGGACAACCTGAGGGTGAATGGGAGAACAAGTGTTCATTTTCTTCTTGAGGCGCATAGTGCTTCCTTCTTATCAGTAGGTGGAACAGAGGCCGGGGTCTGCCCGAGGGTCTTTGTTATTTTAACCACAATTTTAAGGGACAAGGACACTCTGGTAAGGGCATCAGCTTGCAAGATGTTGACCATTATGCCAGAGTCCTCCAACATCCTCTCCAGCTGCACCCCCAGACTCTGATCCAGCCAGCAAAAGAGGTCATGTTGTGCCCTCAAGTCCATGGATGGCATCAATGGGAGGGCCTCTCTCAAGGCCTCGTCTTGAGATGAGGATGAGGAGCCCTTCAGACCAGCGTCTTCTGGATCACAGGCCTAGGGAGCCACCTGGGAAGCTGCCAAAGAGGTCACCTTCAAGGCCTGGGCTGTGGGCAGAGCACTTTCCCCCAAAGCCCTGGGACAGACATGGCTTGGGGCAAGGACTGTCCCAATGTAGGGGAACGGACCAGCGGGGTGGTTCAGGGGAGAGCCCTGGGCCCCAAGTAGACCAACTCCAGACTAGAGGGTCCCACACCCTGTGAGTGGAGGAAGCCAGGGAGCCCAAAAGGGCCACTGGACAGGTGCTTGCCACTGCGGTGGTCATAACTGCTGTGCCGTCTGGACAAAAGTGGGCTAGGGTGGCCAGGGCAGCTGTTGCTGCTGCTGTGTTTGAATTGAAGGGCTCCGGTGCCGGGAACAGTGCCCAGACCTGGACATGAAAGCCCACAATGAGAAGACTGACTTAGCCTCCGAGTCAGTGGAATAGTCGAATGCCAACAAGGGTGGTACCATAACTGAGGCCATCAGTGAAATGCAGCTAGGGGCATACCTGGCCATGGACACAGGATTGCCACAGTGCCAAGGTGGGGATGGAGATACAACAAGCTCCAGTGCCTAGCCTGATGATAAAGGTGGTGCCACGTGCTCAGCTTGGGTCAGTGCTGATGCCATAGAGGGGATCAGTGCCGGAACTGGTGCAGTCACCAGTGTGGATAACGGTGCTGGAGCTTGCACTGGAGCTGGGGCTTGAGCCGGTGCCGTAGTCGAAGTGTTTAGCATCAGGGCAGATCTATGGTGCCCCCTCAAGGCCAGGACCAGGTCACTTTGCACCGTAACGTAGACATGGTGCCGTCAAGAGTCTCATGCCCTCATTGAGGGTGATGCCGGGACTGAGGATGAGGTTAGTTCAATGAGACCCTTGTGACCTCAAACGTGTCGAGTGTCAATGGCTCCAGGAGGTCTTCCACCAGGCTGGAGCCTCAGTGTGGGCTGGGATGACCCAACCTTGACAGGCCAGGTACTGAGCCCACTGGTATCCCTGTGCCACTCCAGAGGGCATACTATTGTCACAGTACTTGGAAAGATGGACTTGATGAAGGCTTTGTGCAGGTCCCCGCAGGGAATAGGCTTAAGCACTTGACTCAGGGTTTGAAGCCTTGGGGCCCAGAGATGCCCCACTATGAGTACTGGAAACACAAAGCAACTCCCCATGCCAGAGAGAACTACTTACACTAAGAACTATTTACAGAGATAACAAGAACAATTAACGGGAACACTAGCTAATCTACAAGAACAAACTGGGTGAGAACTGCTAAGAGTGCTTGTGGAGCAAGAGCAGAGAACATCCATGACCAACACAAACGGTAAGGAGGAACTGAGGGGGTGGAGGGCCAGCAGGTGTATATATTAGTCAATATAGATGTCCCTGTAATTGCAGCTGCAGCTGCTCTGGGCTGTGGTGGCATTGACACTGGAACTGAGGTGGGAAGCCTGTTTATCTTATGCTCACAATGATCCCTCCTGCTGGCATCAAGGTAATATGGAGCAAGAAGCCACCCGACTCAAATGCAGAGGGGATGACAACGAGATTTCATGGGAGAAGTACACTGAGGTAGGAGGGGGAACTGTGATCCTATAGCAAGAAGCACCATAGAACATGCATGAGGAAATTAATAATTCTGGTTTTGGAGCATAGTTGAATAGTGTGAACTAAATAAACTTTAAGGCCATACAATGAACAAAAATAAAAATGAGCAAGCGTGTAATTAAAGACTATCACAATGCATATGCAAAAGCAAATTTAATTATCATATTTTGTAACTTTGGAGTGTTTGTGTTTGCAACCTTTTAACACACTGTGTATAATAAAATGCTATTTATAGCTAAAGAGAGTTGCAAATTATCACAAGATAATTTGATATCTTAAAAGATGGCTTTTTTTTTTTTTTTTTAAAGTGAAAGAACATCTACAAGGAGTGCTCCATTATATGGTTCCTACATAACTCTGAAAGTAACAATTGCACCCTTCCAGGCTACGTCAACACTACAGGCTTCTTGCGCAAGAAGCCTTTTGCACTAGAGTTTTTTAGCAAAAACTTCTTGTGCAAGAGCACGTCCACACCTCAAAGCACATCACAATAGCCATGTGCTATTGCACAAGACAGCGACCACACTGCATGGACGCTCTTGCACAAGAAAGCTCTGATTGCCAGTCACAGAATGGCCATCAGAGCACCTGTGATTTTTTCCACATGGGTTTCTTGCGCAATAGCGTCCATGCAGTGTGGTCACTCTCTAGCACTAAAAGCAGTTATGTCTCAGAAAAGGAGATTTACCTACAGTGGAAAAAGCCCTCTGCTCTGCTATTTAACTGCCCATTTAATTGCACAAGAGCTCATTTGAGGTGTGAATGCTTCCCAGGTTTTTGCGCAAAACAGCTGTTTTTGTGCAAAAACCTTGTAGTGTAGACGTAGAGTTTCTGAAGGAAACAAGGAGGTTAATCAGTTCAGGATCTAGGAAGACTGACCAGCTACAAGACATTCATAGACTGTATTTGATTAAAAGAATGATTTTTTTTGTTCTGGTTATACTTCGGGGGGGTTAGCAGTTCTGCACAGTGGCTAGAACTGTCTATAAACCAGTCCAGAATCTTGGACAGAAATTTGTTGGCTTGAAAAGCAAGCATCCCTGGATTTTTATCTTCTTGCTTGTAAACATCTCCATTTTAAAAGTTCAACCTAATAACATTAATTCAACATAGTAATCTAAATCCAAAAAGTTTAAGTGTTTTCCATATACATACAATTAATTGCTAACCATTTTTTAAATGCAGTTGGCTCAAGGTACAGATTCAAGATGACCGTTGTTTTGTAAATCAAAAAGTCATTCAAACACAAAAAACACTTTATGGTGATGAGGAAACAAATTAATTCATGGATTTGAATGGCAGGCAATTAACAAGTGGGCACCTATATTCTTAATTTGTTCAAAAAATTCTTAAGGTATAGATCAGTATGTATGGTGGAAGTTTCTTACCAGCTGCTGGTAGATCCAACTTTGCTCGTTTCAGTTCAGACATAGAATTTTGGAGCTGCTCTATTACAAAGTCATCTTCAAAGTAGAAATCCTTGGCTAGAGTCTCCTGAAGAAATTCCACAAGTTCTTCCATTTGCAATTTAAGCAGATGTTCTAGATTGGAACAAGAACATTACTGTGGACAAATAAGTTTTTATGATAAACATTCAAAGAAAAAAAAAATCTACCAGAGGGGTGAAATGCCTTGACAGCTTCTTTAAAGATTTTGAAAATGGAATAAAATATACTTTATACTAGACATTTACTAAATATGCTAAAAGCCACTCACTTATTGCCCCTCTAAATAGTCTCTCTTTTTTATATCCATATGTTCTCTTTCTAATTCAGTGTCATTCAGGATAATGAAACCAATCACACCTCTACAATCTTGACATGAGATATTAAAATTCACCGATTTTCATTACTATATCTTCTAAATACTGCCCCCACCCCCTACGTTTGGAAATGACTCATAATATACTTATTCTCCATTTAAATGCTTTGAAGACCAGTAAAAATTTAAGACATTTAAGATGCCCTCATTTGTAAATGAGTTAGAACTCACTGACATAACTGGCAGTTTAGAGCAGAGGGTTTCAAACTCCAAGGTGCTCCCTGTAAGTTAACCAAAGTGTCTTCCAACCAGCTAGCAGCTTGCCCTTACAACTCTTGACCCATGAAAACGCCTGATTTAGAGCAGTTGTTTCAGGCTCTAGGCAGATTCAGACATGTGTTGCTGCATCAGATACATTCAGGTCATATTTTGAAGGCTTTTTACAATGTAGCTTTGTTGGCAAAAGCCATTGTGTAGAAGCTGTTATACTGGCAAAAATGCTTTTTTCTGGTATATCTTATTTTGCTCACCGAATCAGAATAAACTGTATCAGCAGAAACACTTTTCGACCAGTATAAATTAGTCTACAAAAGGAGAACTTTGACTGTGCAGTTATTAAAACAAAACTTTTAAGCACAGACGGGACCAAAAGCTGAGACTCTGGAGAACAAATGAGAGGCCTGGCCATGATGCCTCTTTTCTTTTCTTCCTCCCCAATGTGGTCCACTCCTCAGTGCTTCACCCATTTTTCCCATCAGGTAACACCACTCTAAGGGTATGTCTACACAGCAACTAGACACCTATGGCTGGTCTATACCAACTGACATGGGCTCGCAAAGCTTGGACAGTGGGGCTATTTCACTGCTGTGTAGACTTCTGGGCTCTGGCTGGAGCTTGAGCTCTTGGAGCCTGTGAGGTAGGATAGTCTCAGAGCTTGCCCCCCCCCGCCCCCCATGAACCCAGAAGTCAACACAGCAGTGAAACAGCCCTACAGCCAGACTCCAATGAACCTGAGTCAGCTACCATGGGCCAGACACAGAGTGGGTTTATTTTTTTGCTGTGTAGACATATTTCAAGGGTACTTGATAGTTTTACATAGAGAAGTGTTATACTGAACATGTTTAATAGGCCAGTTTAAAACAAAAAAGGTCCAAATTATCACTATTGCTTTTTAGAGGGTTGAGACTGAAAGCTCTTCCCTTAAAAACAAAAAACAAAACAAAAAAAGATGGGAGGGAAAGGCTGGGAGAAATATTACATTGGTTTTATGTTTGCAAATAAAGAGGAAAACTCAGATCTGATTTCTACCACTAATTATTATGATTCTTGAACATTTTAAGAAGTGTAACAATTACAAACATTTTTCATCTTCAAAATATTTTATGTACAAACTAATAAGCAGCTCCCAAAAGAGAGAATGATGCAGCACCCCCACAGTTAAATACGATAAATTACCTAGCAAGATTAAGACATTAATTCTGCAAACTCTTCCCTGTGGACCTCTGCTCTCCTATGGAGCACTGGAGACATCACTAGTGAGCCCATACGACTTACTCAAGGCTCTCAAAGAAGGCAGAATTGAAACCATGACCGGGAAGAAATTTTCCAACATGTCTATGTGACTTAGGAGCCCAAGACTCATTTTCAAAAGTGATATATACACTTATGAGCCTAAGTCTGATATAAAGTAGGGAGCTTGTGCTCCTAAGTCATTTTAGAAAATGGGACATGGCTGGTTTTGAAATTTTTACCTTAGCAATATGAGGTACAAGCTCCTAAATCATATGCTTAGATCATTAGACCAAGTCTCTCTCAATAAAAGCTTCAATAACTTCACTCATATGAAGAAGTGGGTTGTGTCCCACAAAAGCCCATGATACCATCTATGTTTTTTGTTAGTCTCTAAGGTGCTGCAAGACTATTTGTCCTTGATTTGTTTGCTTTTAAATTTCAGTTCAGGTGTTGGCTCCCTTGTTCCAATATATTCTAACAAAGAAAGTCTACAGCAACTTGTAAAAATTACTTTTAGGTATAGGTGATTATCAATATTTTAAGGGTTTACTCATTAACATTTAAAGCTTTAACCCATGTCTTTTTTTTTAACTGTAAAAATGTGTGAAGCAAAAGCTAATAGGAATACAATTTCAAGCCATGCCTGAGGACTGGAATAAACTTATTCCAAGTTGGTCAAGAATGACAGTAATGTCCAGAAGACCCACTTAGGATCAGGTTTTCCACTGTGCTGAGTCTACACAGATATAGACATGGTACATTTTTCTAGGTAGGGATGTCCATCTAAGCAATTAAATAGTTACTACTCTGTAGCAAATCCAGGTATTGTTTCATATAGCACTTTTGCCAATGATCTCAATCCACTTGGATAAAGTATTGTCCTCATTTAACATATGATAAAATTGCAGCTCTACGAAAGTAGTATTTTGTCAAGATCAGAAAGCAATTAATTGGCAAGTGGCATCTAAATCCAGATTTCCTAAATCGAGATCCTTCTGCTCTTATCATTGGATAACACTTGTTTTAGTAGCAGTAAAACAGTTCTAAAATGTTTCTGTAGATTTTGAAATGCAGACACTGAAAGGGAACTTTGACTAAGGGCAAGTTTACACTGGAACCTTTCACCGGCACTTCTGTAGTGTAGTTGGTGAGAAAGAGCTCTTCATACAGCTTAATAACTACACTGCTGTGGGTATGTCCTGCTGACATAGTGCTGTCTGCACTGATGCTTAGATTGGTATAACTATAACACACCCCTGAGCAACATAGTTATACAGAAGTAATTTTGCAGTGTAGAGTAGAGTAGAGTTCAATCTTTAAAAACTCTTTGCTTTTCCTTCTTAAAGTACAGTGTTCATTAAAATTAAATACAGACGCAAGGTGGGTAAGGTAATCTCTTTTATTAGACTAACTTTTATTGGTGAGAAGGACAAGTTTTTGAGCTCACACAGAACTCTTCTTCAGATCTGGGAAACAGAGAATATCACCACTAAATATAAGGTCAAACACACTGCTTAGCAGAAGTAATTAACACACATTTCACCCTTCAAGGTGAAGTGGCCCCATTAACATGCTTCCAGTCATAGGGAGAAAAGAAAGGGAGGTGAGGGGAGATGGTTAGTGGGCTGCAGATTGTTGTAATAATTCATAAATCCAAAATATCTATTCAGTCCATGATTTTTAGTGGACTGGAAAAAGTCTCTATCACCTACAGACGTTGGTCCATTAAATATATTACCTCTCCCACCAGGAGTGTCTAATACCCTGGAACAACACGACTACAAATACACCGCATACGTGAAAACAAATGACAGTACAAGTTTAAAAAATGAGTCAGCAATGTTTTCCAAGGCAATATAATCTGTGAAATATACTGGAGTCTGACTGTGGAGATTTGTCCAAAGCCACATTCTGAATGCACTTTTTAGATATCACACAGCATGCTATGGCTAGTGTGCTCAGCACTGAAAACACACACACACACACACACACACACACACACACACACACACACACACACACCATAAGAACTACTTAAAAGAGCATGAAGGTTGCAAAGTCAAAAATTCAAAAGTTAGGACAGATGGTGCTCAGTGAGCAGTGATTCAACATTTATTTAATCCTCACTGTTCAATGTGTGGCCCCATGCCTTATTTATTGTACAATATTTAAACCCTGCACTTAAGACAATTATTAATTTAATCATGGGCTTTTCTATGGCACTTATCACTATGATATCTGGCAGCTTCAACAAATATGAATATATATTTCACAGTACCTTTGTGAAATAAGGGGATATTATTCCCATTTTACTGATGAAGAACTGAGGCCGACAGAGTAGGTCAAAACCCATTTGGTTGTGGATGTTCATTTTGGAACTGATTAATTAGTACTATACAGCACTTCACATGTTCAAAACAGATTTTCTACTGATTTCACTTTCAATTGTAAGTGCTCAGCAATTCTATAAATTAGACCCCAAGATCTTGAGTCAGGCATCTAAAAAGTGATGGATACTTTGTGGCGGAGGGAGGAATAAAATCTACTTCTCCAGGGCAGCATTCAACTACTTGAACCTTGAGACCATGTGTTCATGTCCTGCAATCACTGTACACCTTTCAATTTCTGCAACAAATGACACAGGGATCCTATAAACAAATTTTGTTCACTACACAACTCTGATTCATCCCCAAATCTGGTCCATCCTGTGCATTGCATAAGAGGCATCCTGTAGAAAAAATACTCTGTGATCATGTCATTAAAGACTACTATAATGCACATGCACACAAAAGGGTCAAAAATTAAGATGGCACAGGGTAATCTTCAATTTGGAATTTCCTGACTTGACTTTGCAATATTAACAGTGTTTTAAGGCAGCTGTGTGTATGCATAATTTTACTAGTTTAAAAAAATCTGAAAAACTATTCATGTAGCATCATATTGACATCCATATCACTCATGTGCAGGGTTTAATCCTGTAGATCCACCACACAGATCTTTGCTACTTGAGCTAACGGATTAAAAAAAAGGTCATTGTTATTCTCTGTGTCAATCAGCAGAAGAGAATGAAACACTGTAACAGAGGGTTTCAAAGATACTTGATGACATCAGAGGAATTACACCATGACACATCAAGGCATGCATCAATGCCATGCCTATAGTCCTAGACAATTGAGGTATCAAAAATAACTCAACCACCACCCTTAGTCTGTTGCTAGTTTACATAACAATTTCATTGGTTGTGTGAGGTAGACTGCACAGAACAGGAAAGGGCCAAATTTGAGACTATTAGACCCCTTTTGATCTAACAACCACTACATTAAAGAATTATTAGAACTAATTTACAATGCTTATTCCCACAGTTTTATTGAGACTGTCATTTACTTAATAAACACAATTTAAATCCCTTTTTTGCTATTGTTCAACTATATAATAAGTAGTAATTTACTCTACTAAATAAGACATTTCTTCTCCTGAGAGTCACTAAAGATTTCCTGGCACAATTACCCATGATATCAGATAACTAGCTTTTCAAGTCCTGTCATGCAATTGGACAATATTTTTTGTCAGTTCCTTGCAGAACAGTAATTCCAGCATCAGCTATGTAGCAGGATCTAGAGAGCTGCTAATTTGAGAGCATCATAGCCTTTTCCACAGTTATCGTGCTGTGCTGTGATGAAAGACAGTGCAGTCACAAAGGAGAGATCAAAACAGCAGAAAAAAAAACATTTGTCAGTTTTTGTTTTTTTTATAATAAAGCCAAATAGAGGAAATGGCCAATTTTTTTAAAACAGACTACTTAAGAACTAGTTTAACCTTTGTTTAAGTTAAAGATTATGAGAGATCTCTTACTTCTATGTAGTTTCAGAATTGTGTAAGACATAGCAGTGAGAATGCGTTCTCCTTCAAGTATGTAGATATCCCATATCCTGAGAGTTAATGTAAAGGGTGTCTGCAATGACAGAATCAGCCAGAAATGTCAAAACAGCTTGCCCCCAACATACAAATAAAACTAAATACACAAAGATAAAGAGATACTCACACGATCAAGGAAACACTGAAAAAACCACTTCATTGTGTAAAAGCTAGTGGAGATCTCCTGGGAATCCTGTACAAAGCAACAATTTATAAATACTTAGTTAAGAACACTGCAATATACTACCTGGCAAATAAAAGCCTCCCATTTTTTAACTTGGAGCAACAATGAAGTACCTACTGCCCTAAAATCTAAGTGAGCTGTTAGACTAACTCCTTCTCTATGTCTGGCTCACTGCCCAATTGAGATCTTTGCTACTATTGCTGTCTGTGCATAGTTTTTAAACCAGTCTTCACACAAAAGAATTTTATTTCGAACAGCTTTGCTTCAGTCCAACAATTGCTTTCTCTCGCTTGTTTATATTTTCCCTTCATTATCTTTTTCTGAAGAGCAATGTAGATATCTGAAGATGAACAGATATTGAGATACCCCTGGAAACATTAAAGATTCCACTTATACTCAGAGTAAGTATAGAAAGTGCAAGTTTCTTTTATGTTCTAGAGGAGTCAGAGTCAGGATGCAGACCCATTTAATCTTTAACTTCTCTGCCAACAAGGTTTCTAGCAAGGATGCCTATTTAATGCTAGAGGGGATGATGATCTTGTGAGGTGGACATCTATCCACCAGGAAGCAGACTAAGACCATCAATTCATTTCACATAGGACCTTGAATAATTAGAACTATAATGAATTCCGTTTCCTACTAACAGGAGCTTAGTTTGAACTGGGGGTTTAAGGGATCAAACATTTTGTATCTCATTAGTCATCTACTGTCTTTCCACCGTGTACACAGTTTATATTTCTGCATAGGAAATATTATTTTCCTTCTAATAGGAACGAGTTCACTCAGCCTAAAATAACTTTCCATATCTTGAGTGTCAATACCAGCTACCAGTAACAAGAGGCAGAAAGACATGACAAGCTTATATTTTTTGTAATTGTAAAACTACTGCCATTCCTGTCACTTGCATTTGCACTAGTTACAATATTGAAAGTCTTTGAAACTAGGCTGCTGTTTGAGGGTGAGGCACCCAAGCAATCAAGTGACACTGAATTTGTCTTCTCTGTTTACTATGGGATAGCAGAATTTTAAATTAAGCCTCCAAGCTTGTCACATTCAGCTATTTCTCAAGTTTTGAAAACAAGTTCTGAATAACCAGGGACTGACAGTACAAGAATCAGTAGTTATCTGGCATGCTCACAAGCCATATATGTTTTGCCATTCGTTGCTGTTCTTTATTGCTCAAAGAGGCTCAACAGGTCATCACAATATAGTAGGTAAACAAATTCAGTCTATTTGTTCAATCAGTTGTAGCATTCTCTCTCATTTTAAGGTGTACATGTAAGAGGTGGAGTATTTGGAATGGTAGAACTATTGATTGCTCTCTGGATTCAGGTCTGTGTTAGATCAGTAAAACCAATGGCATAGTCCAGACTTGCAGTTCTTGAAATGTAGTTCTTGAAATGCAAAAAACCCTCAAAACTCGGGTCATCTGAAGAAGTGGGCTGTGCCCACGAAAGCTCATGATACCATCTACATCAGTGGTCTCCAACCTTTTTACACCCAAGATCACTTTTTATGTCTCAGAACAGGTGAAGATCTACCACCCCGCCCCTTCCTTGAAGCCCCGCCCCCTCTATTCACCTGTCCATCACTTGCTATCCCAAGCCCTTATACACTGTTAAACAGTTTATTTTTAAATTATGCAATATATAAAATTAAAATCACGTTTATAGTTATGAAATAAATGGTCTGTTTTTAATTCATGCTATTTAAATGTCAAATGAAGCATTTACAATTATACATTTTGTTCTCTGCTATTTTGTAAATCTAAAATCAAGTATTGATAATTATATATTTTTTCTTCCAATAACAAAGTCTCAGTGTGACACCTGTGACTGAACAGTATCTGCCAGTGTCTTGAAGTCTGGGTTATAGTCTGAGATTGCTGGTCGTATACAGTCCATCAGATGGGCATCTGTGATTCTGCGCTCAGCCTGGGAAGCTTGCTCCAGCACAGCTGGAGCTAGATGCAGCCTCCCTGGGCTGAGCGCAGGGCAGCCGGGCTGGAGGGAAGAGAAGTAGCTGCCCGGTCAGCTGGCCATGGCGCTCAGCCAGGGTGCACCAAGCTCCATGTGGGCAGGTGCAGAGGAGAAGTTGCTGATCAGCTGGAGCGCGGGGCAGCCTCTTTCAGCTGAAAGCCACAATCAGCTTGCTGGGGTGTTTCAGCCCTCCCGACCTTCCAGCTCCCACCATTCCTCGCAGCTACTCACCTGTGTTGTTGCTCGGTGAGTAGCTGCTCCTCAAATGAGGAAATCTAATGTAAATGTACTGCGCAGGCACGTAGTTCAGAGAGGGCTCAAGAGCTACTCTTAGAGCCCCTGAGATCTACCGGTAGATTGCGATCTACTGGTTGGTGACCACAGATCTACATGTTTTGTTAGTCTATAAAGTGCTACCAGACCATTTGTTGTTTTTTAAGCTTATCCTGAACAGACTAACTCGGCAACCCCCTGAAGATTGAAATGTAGAGTACAGGTTGAACCTCTCTAGTCCAGAACATTTAGGACCTGACTGATGCTGAACCAGATAGTTTGCCAGACCATCATGGGAGGTCAATATTGTCCAGCAGAATTACTAACATTTCAACTACCTACTGGTCTCTTAGAAGATGTCTGGGGCAAATGAGAATTTAATAATAGCACAGAACACTAAGAACCTGGACTGTTGGTTGTAAAAGTTTAAGGAACTGAGGGAAACTTGGCTACACCCACGATAAGTGAACATCCAACTAGCTAAAATAATGCTGGACAACAGATATTGCCAGACCAGAGAGTGCCAGACTAGACAGGTAGAACCTGTAGTAATGGGATACATTTATCTTGATTATTATATTACATTATAGTTGACACTGTGAATCATAATTTCTATTTGAAAATAATTATTCATAGGTACTCTTACTAGATGGGCACATCCCCTGTGGAAAATTGTGTCAACTTCTAAAAACATCTGAAGCCATTTAAAAAAATAAAGATACATTATTAAAACAAAGGGGCTTGTTTGGAGATTTCCCAGTAAAACATCGAGAATCAACTGCTTATATGTATAAAAAAATATAGCGGATCAGCTATCGAGTTGGTGTCAATTGATGTAATTCCAAAAAAAAAAAAAAAAACCCCAACAGAGCTAAGCTGATTTATTCTAGCACATGGTCTGGTATACATAATTCAAAGATGCTCTCACAGGTTCTGGTAATGAATATTTATTGAGATTTCATATATTATTGTGCGTGACTGACTGAAAGTTCCCTAAGAAGGTGAGCACTGTTAAGATACCCTAAGTAAAGTGTGCCTACATTAGAAATGTTATAGTGGTATAGCTATACTGTAGTAGACTTTCTGTAGAACTTTTCAAGAAAATCTGAGGAAAAACTGTTCTTGGTTATTAAATATAACAGATAACAATAATATTGTATCAGCAGAATTACTTACTACCATGAGGTTTTGTTATCCAGTCATATTCTACCACTCTTAAACACCAATATTTTAATTATTGGTTTACTTTGATTAAAAGCACCTATTCAAAAATTAAGTGAGAGAGGATAGCACTGTTCATTTTAAGCAGTAAGACAAAATCTTCTGAAATTAAAATAAGAAGCTTTAATCTGTAGTCCACATCCTGTATAACCTCTACTGTGAAAATTGAAGCCATAATTTTCATTCCAAAGGCAAATGAGCTACTGGATCTCTGTTTTCATTATGCAGTTTTTTTAAAAAAAATCACAAGATACACCCTACAATTTTGAATTACCGGTAATCTATTACTGTAATGAAGAGAATGTTTCCAAACTAATATGACAGAGCATGGTCTAAAAAAGTCTCAGATCATAGTAAAAAAAGAAATTGATTAAATATTAGTGTATACTATTCATGTTCAACAGAAACAAATAGATTTTAGAGGAATGGTGAAAGCTAGTGTCATCAGGAAGTTATTCTCATCATAATGTGTGAGTGTAATATTCCCACAAAAAAAGGTTATATGAGCTTATTGTTTGGCTTGAATTTCGTTCAATATTGTAATGAAAACAATAGAAACCGTCCCTGCCCCAACGGACTGAGAAGTAAACAGTTTGTTAAGTCTTTCTTAGGAGTACACCATTTCTTATGCAGAAGTTCCAAAAATTGGGTGATGAGGAGTTGACTCACCTTGAGCAGAAGTTGCAATTCTTCAAGACATGTCCTCCTATGGGTTCTCTACTTCATACATGCCTGCTTCCCTTGAGCCCTTAATCAGAGATTTGTCTAATAGCAACACATTCATGTGTCCTGTGTATCAATGTGCTCCGTACTAAGAGTATAGACCTCAGTTCCTTCTCCATCCAAATAACCTAAAGAGAGCAATCCGAAGCAGAGGGAAAGGAGGGTGCATAGCAGCGTATGCATAGGGACACACGTCTTGAACTGCAGTTACTGCAGAAGGTGACCTCTTTATCTTGAGGAGGAGCCCTATGGGTGCTCCACTTCAATTAACACTTTGAAGAATAACCTTTTCGTCTTTGTCAGTAGGTGTGCTTATGGATGCTGTACTTCAAGTATCAAGGGGGTAGCCATGTTAGTCTGAATCTACAAAAGCGACAAGGAGTCCTGTGGCACCTTAGAGACTAACAGATTTATTGGAGCATAAGCTTTCATGGGCAAAGACCCACTTCATCAGATGCATCGGACGAAGTGGGTCTTCGCTCACGAAAGCTTATGCTCCAATAAATCTGTTAGTCTCCAAGGGTATGTCTACACTACAGCACTAATTCGAACTAACTTAATTCGAATTAATTAATTTGAACTAAACTAATTCGAATTAGTGCATCTAGACCTAAAAACTAGGTCGAATTAGCATTTTGCTAATTTGAACTAGCATGTCCACATTGAGTGGACCCTGAACCGAGGTTAAGGATGGCCGGAACCAGTGCCAGCAGGGCATCAGGTTAGGACTTAGAGCGTGGAGCTGTCTCAGGCTAGCCCAGGGTTGTGCTTAAAGGGACCCGACCCCCACCCCGGACAGACAGTGCTCAGGGG